CCACACGCGCACCCAAGCAATAAACAGTAAAGAACACTCCATATATATATATATATATATATATATAAAAGAAGCCCAAGGGCTTATATATTAAAAGTAGGTACCCATCCCACACAATACAACACAAAAAAAAATTGTAAAAAAAAGTACATATAAAAAACCCAAGCCACCAGGACTAGGGACGACCCAATTTAGTCCTGCCTCTGCCTCTAGTTCTCGGAAGGGAGCCATCTAAAAAATTGGTGCGGTGCGTACCATTACTCAAAGTAACGAAAGTATTATCCATTAGATTTTTGAGCTCAAGTAGATCTCCATTCTTCTGTTTCTCCTGAAAGTGTAAACCTGTCATCCTCATCCGAAGATTGATCATTCGGTTGAGGTGGTAGAGCTGTAGCAAAAGGATTGTCAACCGTTGTACCCACAATAGGTTCTAGTATATGTGAAGTATGAGTTGTCACCTCTACACCGGATACTTCGTGAAGATGGAGAGCTGCAAGGTTCTTATGATTATCAGTCCGAATATTATCCTTTGTAGATAAAGATCATTCAGTATTGTTTTCAATAGGGTTTGAAGGTGTAGGTTGCCCAACAGAACCATCCAACATCACATCAATTGCAAAAACAGTAACATTATTGTCAAAAGAGGGTTCACAGGAGCAATTAAATAGGTCACCAAATTCTGTCTTGTGGTAGTTTCCTCTCCAGGTGGAGCAGTTATGTCCAGAGCAGTGGGGTTAGACCCCTCCTTATTCACTTGAATTATAAATTTCAACTTGAACTTTAGATTTCATATTATGATGGAGCTTGTGGTATTTATCAAGGGTATGCCCAAATATCTTACAATGAGTACAATAAGGAGGTTTGTGTTCCATGACGATGAATTGTGCCCAGCCAGACTTCAGTAATATCAGGTAAAATAATATCCTTTTTCACAAGTATTCTGACCACAGAAAGTCCGATTATATTGAAATTGGGTAGATCTAGCTCCATAGGGTCCCCAAGTATGGTTCTAATAGAGTGAGAACCTGAAGATTAAAAAAATACAGCTCGAGACCAGATAGACTAAACCATATTGGTACAATGAGAGTTTCATGATTTGGGTCAAAATCAGGAGACCACTTGAGTAACTTCATTGACTTGCTTGTAATATTGAGATATTTTTGGACAAAATCAGGGTGTAGTCTTCAACCACGATTAATTAAATCAACACACTTCTTCTATCAATGAGTCTTACTTTCCACTTGCCTACTAGTTTGAGATCATCAAGACTCTTTCTGATAACTTCCATAGGTGGGTGCTCCTACTGGAATTTTTCAATAAGAGCGAACTTGAATTTCTCTGTCAGGGTTGAAATTTCTAAGTCAGAGAAAAAGAATGCTGTTTTTTCACATTTCCTACTTGCCTTCTTTACAAAAGGACAATTATCTGTACAATCACAACAATTCTAATAACTTGAGGGAAAGACAACCGCCGACTTTGCTTGAGGATTACCCACCAAGTGGTCAAAGGAGGCTTTGCCAGATTCAGTCGAAAAAGGAGGGAGCGCCATCAGAGCAAGGACCTGCTAGAAGATCCCGATATAAGAAGCTGTCAACACCTCCAACTGCAAAGTCCCGAAAGTTCAGAAGCAGGGAGAGGCGAATTTACAATAAGCAGCTGTCGGCGCGAAACAACCAAGGCAGAACGACGCAGACGCGAACGTGTGAAACAGTTGGCGTCAAAATCAAAACAGCGACACTTAATGATGCAGACGCGATTCGCTGTCGGCGTCGAAGCTGACGAAACACAGTAGCGACGCGAGCCGACTACTACGGAGAAGACACAACAAGGAGAAGACGACGCCGGAGAAGACGCAACGAGGATTTGATTCGAATCGCTGTAATGGTTGGTAGGGTTCACCATGAGTCAAAGCCCTAACAGAATCGATAGCGGGAGATGACGACGCCTTATGATTGAT